TGCCCTGAGTCGTAGGCGACGGTGTAGGCTGCAGCCCCTGTGGCAGTGGGTTGCCATGGGCTACCGTGTGTAGCCAGCAGCCAGCGTGAGCAGCCGTCCAGAAGCCGGCGACTGATCTGCCTCCCCCGGGAAGAGCGCAATGATGGTGCCAATTTGGGCCAGTGAAGCAACATCCTCCACAACTAGACTGAAGAACAAAACGACAGCAACTTGTCGGTTCCCCTTCCCCCAATTCCCCAGTGCTGTTCCCATCCCCCCAATTCCCCAATAAAAAAATAATAAATAAAATTAATAAATTCCTAAATTATCAGTATAAAAAAATGGACCCCAGTGCTGGCTAAATCTGATATACTTGGCTAAAGTAAAGTTACAGCATGGAAAATTATATTTTCCCCCATTTTATTTCATTTGATAAGATAAAAAACTTGTTCTCCAGTTGCTTTACTTCCTGCCATGCTGTGTTTCAAGCCCCATTTTGTTGCTCTTTCGTACCCACTTATTCTGGCCCAATTTTTCTCTTAATTTATTCAGGTATTTATAGGATGATTTATGTGCCCTTGGCTCTGGGGATATGAAGATAAAAACAAAACAGAATAACCAAAATCCTCAATACCTGTTTCCAATAAACTGCCACAGAGTAATAGGAAAACATGGAAGGTGGTGGTGAATTAAGATACGGGATTGTTTAGTTTTTCAATTTTAGAGAATTTCTCAATAATGTTGTTTTTATGAACCTTAGTTTTGAGATAGTAGCTTTAAAATGTATATTAAAGTTTAAAATAATTTCTTGCCACCATTTCCCGTTCCACCCAGATTGTATGCACAGGTCAATGTGAGTATTGCAGAGAGGAGTCTGGTATTGTCCTAAAAATTTTACCTAAGTTTCTCATTTTTAGCTGGACCTTATATGTCCATACAGCTATAGTTATGCTAATCACTATAATTTTAAGAAATGCAAGCTGTTAGGCTTATGGTAAGAAAAATACTGCAACACACTCCCCAAACAAACAAAACCTCATCCTCTAGTTCTTTAAAGGCCACCACCCATGTTTTCGTATACATTTCCCCCTCAAGATTAGGTGTAGAGAAGCACAAAGCTAACTAAAACCTTAAATAAGATACTAACACAGAGACCATAACAATATAATACAAGAATAACCCACTATAGTAAAGTAGGGTTTATCTCAGGAATACAGCAATCATAAAATATAAGGACGTGCATTAATATAATTATGTCAATAATACAATAGCTGCAGAAAGTCATTTGTTAAAATTAAACATTTAAAGGTATTTTAAAACAGGAATGGAAGGCTTTCCTATTAATACACATATACAGGTAATTAATAGTCTTTATCATAAACCTATCATCATCATAGTCAACAGCAGATCTCTAGAGGTAGTCCCTGTCAACTCAGGAAAAACAATAGCAGATATCTATGTTTACTGTTTTTTATATAGTAGTATTTTGGAAAATTTTATTACTGTGATAAGTCATAGGAGTAAAAGAAAATAACACAAAAAATTATTATAATGAGATGACTTGATTATACACCTAGAAATCCAAGACATTCAGCTAAAAATAACAATCTCTTAATGAAAGCTTAATCAAGGTAACAGTATATGAGAAATACTCAGAACTCAATAGTACTCTGCACTTTCATAATATAGACATATAAAGCATAATTTTAAAATGATCAATTCAATAGAAATATAATGCCCTTAAAAGCAGAAGAAGTTAACATAAGATAGGATATGTAGAAGTTGAATAAATAAAACTGCAAAACTTTATTGGTATATTGAAAAGAGGACCTGAATAAATGGAAAATTGTGACATATTACCAGATGGAAAGACTGCATATTTTCTCATTGTTCTTTCTCCATGTTATATTTTAGATGACCTAGAATTCAATGCTTCATTTTAAATGGTTGTTTTCTAGAAGTTGTCAGTCTTATTCTAGAGTTCAACTTTGAGAACAAATAGCTAACACTCGTAAATATACATTTGGAAATACGGATTTTTACAAAGGGATGTAGAGATCCAGAAATGGTACCTATATGGGTAAATAGAGAAGATTTTAAAATCTAAATCACAATTTAAATTTTTAATGAAAATTTTTCAAAGGATAAATAACTGTTTTTCATAGACTTGCCATATAACCCAGCAACTCTACTTCTGGGTATATACCCAAAATAATGAAAGCAGGAACTCAAACAGATATTTGTACACCAATGTTCATAGCAGCATTATTCACAATAGCTAAATGGTAGGAACAACCCAAATGTCCATTGTCAGGTTAATGGGTAAACAAAAAACATATGCTATAGACATACAATGGAGTATTATTCAGCCTTAAAAGGTAACCACATTCTGATACTTGCTACAATATAGATGAACCTTGAAAACAGTATGCTAAGTGAAATAATCCAGACACAAAAAGAACAACTATTGCATGATTCCAGTTGTATGAGGAATCTTTAGTCAAATTCATAGAGACAGAAAGTAGAATAGTGATTATCAGGGGCTGGGGAATGAAGGAATGTGGAGATATTGTTTAATGTGTACAGGGTCTCAGTTTGCAATGATAAAAATGTTCTGGAGATGGATTGTGGTGATTATGGCACAATAATGTGAATGTACTTAATGCCACTGAATTGTACACTTAAAAATGGTAAAGACAATAAATTTGATGTTATGCATATTTTACCATCATAAAAAGATAATTAACTTAAAAAAATAGTAACAATGTATTATGGAAACACAAACACAGTCCTGGAGGGGAGGAATATAAGTACACTATCATAAAGTTTTTATACTATTTGTGAGGTTGTGTACAGTTATATATAAGTGGTATGTAGTTGAAAGTAAACTGATAAGTTAAAGATCTATACAATAAACCCTAAAGCAATCACTAAAGTAACAAAATAGTTACAAGCTGTAATCTAACAAAAGAGATA